TGAACCCTAGAACGAGCCCCTGTCATGGGATCCTTTTCTAAAAACGCTAAACCTTGGGTACTGCCCCCACTCAGTAACAGTCGATATTAGGGGTCCTATTAAGGGCTATATATAACCATAATATAAATATTATCCAACTGTTACTGAGGGGAGGCAGTACCCAACCTAAACCCTAAACCTATACCGCCTAAAGGTAGCCCCCGGCGCGTAAGGAGCTTGAGTAGGAATTATATGGATGGGTACTCTTGGGGCCAAGGGGGGGTCGGGGGAGGGGGGGGGCAGGATGGCAAACCCTCAAGCATGCTTGGATGGAGCGGGCTGGCATCTACCTCTTAAGGAGAAGCAGTTTGACATGCTTGGGCACTTTGCGGGTTTCCAAGAGAAGGGGTGCCTTGTCTCTGTTTTGGGGCCCCTGTTTATAATTGGGTTTTGGTTTAGGGTTTAGGGCGTTTAGGGTTTGGGGTTCAATAAATTCATACACCTCTCTATTTCAGAAGGGCCTTGGAAGCCCCCATCCGTGGTTCCTGGTGGAATCGCTGCTTCCAACAGAAAGAAAGGTTAGACCTGCGCGTAGTAGAATCTGAAGCATATAAACTATAGTCTAAACTCCTAGTATTCCCCTTAATAACCCATATAGTAATCCCCTATATAATCCCCTATATAGCCCCCCTTTAAGGAGTGTAGATTATAGCTCATATCAGTAAGAAGGTAGCTACTCCTCTTCACCATGCTTCCCTAGACCATGACGAATGTAATGTATGTAGGGTTAGGGCTCAGGTTCCCAGAAGTGCGGGTGGTCCAGGTAGCAGGGACATGGATAATTACCAACCTCATGTTGAGGTCTTTTTGAAGCACCTCATACCATAGCTATATATACATATATATATAGGAATCTAGGATAACAACGACGCCATTTTTTCCTACAGTGCCTCTTTTTTGCTCTAGCAGACCACACTTCAAGAAGCATGCAAGCCCTCTTGAATCTTGGCTATGGCTGGTGGAATTGCCGTGCCCCCTGAACCCTAGACGCGAAATAGAGCTTTGGAATTCCCCACAAATCAGGGCAGACTCCTACGAGGTACAACTGCTCCTTGGGTTTCTCGCCCATCTCCATCAATTCTGAACTTAGAATTCCTTCTCATTAATTAATGTCAAATGCTCGTATGGTTATGCGGGCAGGCGGTTACTAGGCACAACATCGTAAACCCAACCCCTGAGACCTAAACCAGGCGAGCTGCCGCAAGTGCTGGAAAAGGTGAGGCTCTTTCCACCATCCGGCGTGCTGGGGGAGAAGTTCCACATCACTTTGTCCGTCGTCTTGGGCGAAGAGAGCTGGTAATCGTGGATCAAAACGAGCACGACAGTTGTCTTCACTGTACGCGTTCTTCTACATAGATTAATTGTTGCCCATTCCCCGCGGCAAGGGACCCCAAAAGATTGTGCACCGCTTTTTGACGAGGTGGGAAAAGCACTGAATTTCAATGGAAGTGCCTACAATGGTCTGGATGGTGTATGGAGTCTGGAACTTGGTACTTAAGGCTGGCTTTTTCTCAGATGTCCCCAGAGATTGAAGATCAACATATTCCGGGATGTCACAGGGACCCCCTTCGTCAACACGGCTTGTGCAAGGCTGAAAAGAACGATCCTACAGTACTGCTTCGTCCCGTTGCATTGCCATTCCAAGCACGTCCACTCCATATTTTTTGGATGGACATTTTGGCAACCCAATACTCTATGTGGTGCCCTTGCAGGGTGTATTCTACAGTGCAGTCCCCAACAAAACATATTAAGCCCAAAAGAGAAGTACACACCAGCCTCTGGCTACAGCTGTGGGGATTAGCTCAGCATACAAGCCATAGGTGAAGTATTTGAAACTGCGTTACAAACAATGAGCACTTTGCAACACCGGGAAAAATTGCAGGGGGGGAAGTAGGGTAGGATCCCGGGGGAGCTCGTCTTCCCATGCCCCAGCAAGTTCACCATCTGATGCATATGGGCTTAAGCACTCGGAATGCTAACCCTGTCGCCTTGAAGATCAGGACCCGAACGGCCAGACCCTTAGCCTCTAAAACTTCCATCTTAATTCCAATTAGTTGGACTTTTCTCCAAACAAACCTCCAAGCCCTTACCCTCTTGTCTCAGAACCTCAGCCAAGGGGCCTTCAATTGAATCGTTGCTAGCGGCCCAAACAGTGCGCGTAAATCCAATACCCTGTGCTCAAACCCCCAAACTCTAAACCCCAAAGTTTAATGTAGAAGCAGACATGGTCCCGACATTATGGTCCTAGATTCCTTGCATACTTATGCTCGATTCAAAGCGGTATGGGTAATATTTTAGGCCGCTACGCTAGTAACCATGAAAGTGTTATGGCTTTCCCAGGTTTCTATAAGGATTATGGGCAATAAAATCAAAAATGCTCAAACCTACCCCTGTATAATAGGCCAGGGAGCGTAGGACCAGAGTTGCTCACCGTTCGAGGAGTTCACTGCAATCCTTGCGGATCCGAAGTGCGCAGGTGGCTGCGGTACTAGAGTACAGTATCAGCGGCAGCAGTTTTTACTGGTTGAACCCTGTGAGTCTGTGAGATTATCTTCTGCTTTTACAATGCCATACTCAGAAGAAGGATATAATCTCACCCCATTTGACGACTATCGTTTACCCAAACTTAAATACTACTCCTTTTCACAAGGACGAACAAGTGACCGTCTCCTAAACAAGTTCAACGACGGCTACATGCTTGAGAATGTTGATTGCAGTTGTAGACTAGGTTTTGATAGGATTGGGCTGCTTGATCTTCCAGAGCGTTACGGTTCTTTATGCATATCATAGTGATTCTGTAGCTTCATGTGTCAAGCTCTTGCAAACCATGCGTTGCTATGACAATGATCCCGGTCCACTTTATGGTAGTTTCCCAAAATAAGGGGACCCCAGCACAGAACTTAAAAGACTAGAGCGCTTACTACTATGGGGACCCCCAAAAAGGTACCCCTAATTTTGGGAAAGCCTAAAACTTGCCTAAAACACAAATTTTAGCATTCTTTTCCATTATCCCTATATAAAGCTCTTATTACCCCCCGCATAACCCTATAGAATCCCAATGTAAAGTACCCATATTTTGGGGAAGTCCCCATATTATGGCAGTTTTGCCGGCTCTCTATTTTGACCCACCAACATCAACATGCTCAACAGCTTCAAGCCTGTAAGTGGTCCAACGCCTTCTACCATCAACCCTAGGCCTCCCTTTCCTTACTGTAGGGTTTAGAGCGCAAGCAGGGAGACTGGACTCTCAGCAGCTCCATCCTTTGAAGCATTTAAGATACATGCAGGGTGGTGCATCCCAGTTACATAACTATAAGTATAAGTTCCAGAACTATAAACAATAGGATGTTTAAGTATACGTATCCCCCTTATTTAGTTACTGATAGCCCAAATTATAACTTAGGGGTCTCACCTTGTGTTAGTATTTCCTACAGCCTCAGCTGCCCTACTCCTCATGGTCATGAACGATACGATTCTTGTGCACGACCGCTACGTGAAGAAAACCAGAACCGCTTGCCTCCAACAGGCACCGGCCCTCAAAACGAAGTTACCAGACCCTACACCCTAAACCCCGAACTAAGGCATAAGACCCACCTGAGAACTTCCTAGCATGGGGGCGGGCTCTTGGGGAGCGCATGGGTATATAGGGAAGATAAGAGAATTATGGGGTTCCGGATCAGGGATTCGATTAGCTTATTTTGAGAGGTACCCAAATAAGAAACAAAACACGCAGACAAAGTACTCCCAAGACCCCTCAGGACCAGTTTTACTAGACACTTTCATCCCTACGTTCAATGACGACTGAACCCTAAAAAATGACGACTGTAACATTACCTCTGAGTGCCACTAGCCGCTTGGTTGAGAGATAGAACCCTCTTGGGAGCATTACGTTTAAGGTTCAGGGTGTGGGGTTCAAGGTCGTGGCTCTATACGAGAATATGGAATGATTTCTAACGTAAAGCCGTGCACTTCAAACAGCCCTAGACCCTAAACCCTTAATCCAGCGAGCCCCAAATTGACGAAACGAACCCTAACGCCCCTAAACCCTGAATCTTCAACCTTAGGCCCCTTTGCCCTAAACAATCCCATATGAGCTATACTCCTAAAAAGGGGTTTACCTAGGCGATTATATAGGAGAGTATTATAGAGGCTATTAATTAAGGGGGATGCTGGGAGTTTAGGCTATAGCTCACATCTCCCATATCCCCTTAAGGGAACATTAAAACCTGCACACCCAAAGCCCGCATAGGCTGAAGTCCTGTTTGCAACCCAGACTCTCCGGGAAGGAATCTCTTTTCCATGAAGCACTAACTTCTAGTCCCGCTTAAGTAAATAGAAGATGGGGTATATGGGGATCTTATTATAATATACCCGAAGCCATATTCTACAAGGGGGACTATAGGGTTTAGGGTTCAGAGGTGTCGGGCGGGTAGTAGGGAGCCTATTGAGGGCTTTACAGGGACCGCTTTGTGGATCCAGTCTCCCCTCCCTAGTTTGAAATCTTTACCCACCTCTAGTACTAAATACTCCCAATACATCATAGTATACGATTAAGTTAGTTTACCACAGTAGGAATATCTAATACAAGGCCGGGGATGGGGCATAGGCAGGGGGTTTCAGTTTAGAGGCAGGGGATTATGCACCAGTACGAAACCCTACTGCGGCCAGGATGCACTGAATCGCAACCTCCTTGAAGGGCTCTTGCCAGAGCTGGAAGGAAAAGACGACCCTGGGAAGACGGAAGATTTCCTGGGGGGGGGGGGCTTACTTACTGGTGCTTACTGGTGCTAGGGTTTAGGGTTTAGGGCTTAGGGTACAGGGTTTAGGGTTGGAAGAAGAGGATGTAATCCCATATACGCCCCATGTAACCCGTATATAATCCCTGTCTACTATATTCCCTTATTCCCTACAACCCCCAAACCCGAAGCCCTAAACCCTAGACCCTACAACAGTAAGCTCAAGCAATAATGTAATCATTCCTTGCAAGCACCATTTGGATTGAGATTAACTTGGTCAGGCCACTTCAATTTGCCCAGATATCCTCAACCCGTTTAGGGTTTAGGGTCCTGTATTATAACACCTTAAATCCAAATCATTCAGCCCTAAACCCTAAGCCATACATAATCATTCAAGCCTAAATCCTAAACCCTGATCATTCAAGCCTAAACCCTAAACCCGATTCGGATGTTACGGTTTCAGGGTTTCGTAGGTTGCAAAACGACGGCTGGTCGCCCCTTTCATGGCGCAAGCATGCCAATCTTGACGTTTGGTATTCCCTTTCTCAAGCATTACAGCGTTCCCCGCGTCCATGGCGGGTGGTTAAGGTAAGTAGTCATCAGGATTGGCACGCTGCGCCGGATGCATACCATGCTTGGGTTTGGTATCATAATGATGCCCAGATAGTTTTGCAAAAGAAGCCCACCAAAACTTTGGACAAACTGTGCTTTCAGCCCACAAGCGTGCGCAGAGTGCG